CTGTATAAAATGTCTAGCTGGGTTGGGTTATTGTATGTATGACCGCTATAGATTCAGGCCTCCTCAGATCCCCGTGAATATGCTGTTCGTGACTTACAATTTTTTCTCACTGTAGCAAACTTTCCCCTTCCACAATCCGAGGGGCTCTGTAGACTCAAATTCAAATTATGGTCTAGGACTGTGGATAACATCTCCTGCTAACCTGTCCAGGAAATGGGGAAGCTTCCTTTTCTTTATGACATAGCGCCCCCTAGCCACACTTGCAAGCACAGCAGTGAAATTCAGGGATAATTTCTTGTGAGCAAAAACATTTGACCTGCGGTTGTTCCTTGGTCAGGAAAATCAGTTTTCAAAATGCTGATCATTTTCAGATGAGAACGATGAACTGTTATGAACAATTTTAATATGAGAAGACACGGTTTGCGTAACCCACTGTTATTCTCAAATTCTGAATTTCTGATGTTTTCGTTACACTACGTAAGTGACATTTACCCTAGAAAACCAAAAGCAGGATCTCAAAACACTGAATTTGTAATCCCAAATAATATATCAAGTAGCACTCATGGAAAAATTCTAAAGCATTTTCTATCTAAAGAGAAGCTCTCAAAACACTTTTTTTGGACCTTCCATTCTGTTCAATGGAAAATAAGCACGGTCAGCTCTTCTGCAAGGGCCCCCACTGCACCTTTGCCAGCAGCCTCGTCAGCTTCCTGGCCCTCACACGGGTCCCGAGCCAGCCATCCTGATGTCACCTGCATTACTCCAGAAATAATACTCAGCCAGAGGGCTCAGAGGAAATTAGCACAGCTCCTGTGACTAACCGAAATTAGGCCAGTCTAAAATAAATCATATAGGCATTTTCTAATACAACCCTCTGAACAGATGGCGTTTTTCCTATGTTCTGATTTTTCTAGTCATGGCCATAGCTACTTTCCAAGCAGGTCTAAACACGCCAAGCCTTCCCTGGGTAGGGCCGGCCACGGGAGGACCCACTTGAGTGCTTTGGGGGAAGCAGCTGGCAGAACAACGGTGAGTTCAATTTAGAAACAAAACTGTTGTTCTACTTCCACAGTACATCAATCTTGTGAGGTCGTGAACATCAGAAAAGATCATTTCTCCTGCCGTCTCCTCTGTGCCTCTCGGTGTGAATAGTATTATCCTGTGAGAAAGGATTTGTTACTTTCATTTCATAGACAAGGAAGCTAAGCAGAGGATGAGAAAAGGATGGAGTGAGGAAGGAAATCAGCTGAAATCCTTCTGCATGAACACCATGTTTGCCATCTGACAGAGCCCAGGAGGGAAGGGTGCTCTAAGGGAAAAAAATCACTCGAACTTATCATTAGAACTTCCACATAGAGATCAGTGAAAACTGTCAGTTAACAAAGCCTTCACTGGCCCACCATCTCTGAGAAAAGCCTGTAGGTGAGTGAGCTTTCTCTGTTTTCCACCTCTCTCCTTCAGCCTTCACTTTCTTGTTGGGTGCACAGGGCCCGGGAAGCAAGCTTTCCTCTAACTCAAGGCTAGAAGCTCCTTCCCACTGTCCCAAGTCTCAGGTCAGCCTGGCATGTGTTCTGTTTCCTTCTTGGTCTGTTGGGTAGTCTTGGCTCCAGTCAGTGTGGTACCCATGGCAAATTCATTTCCAATGTAGCAGAAACTTCTGAGGACTGATGCCTCCAGGCTAAGGAAATTCTGAGGCCCTGGAACAGGTAGGCTGATAGAAGAGGTTCTAGGAACTGGAAGAGCTTTGGGTTTTTTGCTGTCATTCTGTCCCAGATATTTTTATTCTAAATACAGCATGAGGTACCTGAAATATGGATTGATAAAAGATGTAGGATCAAGACATGATATATCAGAATCCTACAATGAATATGTATCACAAACATACAAGATAAAAAGTATGAAGATATATTCATAATGCATCATTTAGAGAGAAATTTAGTCCAATCTTTCAAGAGGCTATTTGATTAAATAAGAACCCACAGATGAGATAAAAGACAGATCCTTGAGATCTGTTACAATGGAAGGAGCAAGGAATTTTTAAAAGCAAATGAGTAAAGGATAGTGATAAGCTCAGTACCTCCACGAGGTCCAAATGTATGTGTTTATTTTCCATCTTTATATAGATTGCACACTTTTCCTTTCAAAATCTAAAGATAAATGACATACTCCTAGGATTGATTTAAAAGAAGGTTGGTGATGAAATTGAAAATGTAATTTAAAACTTACCAACAAAAATCCCAGGTCTTCATGGATTCAAGAAATTCAGATATCTGTTGCCACCAATGCTGAAACGTTTAATGAGATTGGAAGGGAAGCAAAACTCAAAATCACTCAAGTAAGCAAGTATTATCCTGATACAAAAACTAGAGAAGGAACCAACCAAAAAAGAAAATTACAGGCCAATCTCCCTAAGAAATATAGGTGCAAAAATTCTCAATAAGATAGTGGCAAACAGAAGTAACAAATCATCAAGAAGATTATCTACATGATCAAGTGGGACTCACCCCAAGGATGCAGGAATGGTTCAACATATGCAAATCAATAAATGTAATATACCACATTAACAGAGCCAAAGGAAAATACCACACTATCATCTCAAAAGACACAGAAAAAGCATTTGACAAAGTCCAGCACTCACGATGAAAACCCTACAGAAAATTGGAATAGATGGTCTTTATCTCAATCTGATAAAAGTAATCTATGATAAACCAACAGCCAACATCATACCAAATGGGCAAAATCTGAAAGCTTTCACTCTAAAATCAGAAACAAGACAATGATGTCCATTGTCTCCATTCTTATTCAATGTAGTACTGGAAACTTTAGCCAGAGCAGTTAGACAAGAGAAAGAAATAAAAGGAACAATGATAGGGAAGGAAGAAGTTAAATTATTATTGTTTGTGGACAACACAATACTCTACATAGAAGACTTCAAAAACTCCACTAAAAAACTGCTAGATTTAATAAACAAATTCAGTGGCATAGCTGGATACAAAGTCAACACTCAAAAGTCAATATCCTTCCTGTACACCAATAACAAACGTGCTGAAAGAGATTAGAGAAACAGCACCTTTCATAATAACATCCAAAAACATGAACTACCTAGGAATCAAACTAACAAAGAATATACAAGAGCTCTACATTAAAAATTATAGCGCTCTGTACAACCAGATTGAAGAGGATAACAGGAAATGGAAAGATATCCTTTGCACTTGGGTAGGAGGGACCCGTATAGTGAAAATGGCCATACTTCCAAAACTGATATACAGATTTAATGCAATTCCTATCCAAATTCCAACAACATAATTCACAGAATTAGAAAAAACAATCCTAAAATTCATTTGGAAACTGAAGAGACCTAAAATAGCCAAGGCAATCTTGGGCAGCAAAGGTAAGGCAGGGGGCATTATAACCCCTGACTTGAAATTATACTATGAAGCTACTGTGATAAAAACAGTGTATTACTGGAAAAAAAACACCCAAATGTCAATGGGACAGGTTAGAAGATGCAGAGACAACTTTAGACATACTCAGCCACCTTATCTTTGACAAAAGCATCAAACACATCAACTGAAAGAAAGATAGCTTCTTTTATAAATGGTACTGAAAAAACTGGCTTTGAACATACCGAAGATTAAAAATTAGACCCATATCTTTCACCATGCACTAAACTGAATTAGAAATTGATCAAAAATTTAAATATTAAAACAAATATCAAATCTGTTAGAGGACAGAATAGGTAAAACTCTTTAAGACATTAGTAGAGGGAAAAGCTTTATGAATAAAACCCCAATTGCATAGCAACTATCAGAAAGAATGAACTGGGGTCTCATCTTATTAAAAATCTTTTGCATAACAAGTGAATCCACCAAGAGAGTGAACAGACAACTCACATGTGGGAAAAATGTTTGCCAGCTGTTCCTCAGGCAAAGGATTACCATCAAGAACATACAAAGAACTAAAAAAAAAAACTCAGATTTCTCAAATTTTTTTAAAATGTAGCTGAGTTTTTTTTTTTTTTTTTTTTTTTTTTTGTCTTTTTTCTTTTTATCGGTACCGGGGATCGAACTCACAACTGCCTGCTTACAAGGCAGGCGCTTATGCCGCTGAGCTAAATCCCCAGCCCCAGATTTCTCAAATTTAAAGTCCAGTCGAAAAATGAGCATCTGAGATGAATACACACGTCTCAGATAGAGAAATACAAATGGAAAATATGTTCAGCCTCATTAGCAATTCAATAAATGCAAATTTAAATAACACTGGTATTCCATCTCACTCCAGGAAAAAAAATGCCTATTATCAAAAATCAACCAATAACAAATGCTGGAGGGTCTATGGGGAAAAAAGAACTTTTCTCCATCGGTGGTGGGAATGCAGACTTGTGCAAGCACTATGGAAATCAGTATGGAGATTCCTCAGAAAACTGAGATTAGAGGTCCCATTTGACCCAGCTATTCTACTTCTGGGTATCTTTCCAGAAGAATTAAAAACATCATGCCACAGTAATATACGTGCACCCCTCTTCCATCTCGGCTTCAGTGAGGCAAAGGTGTGGCTGTATCGACTGTTTCGAATATGGTATTAAGATACGGTATTATGATTAATTTAATAGTACAACATGTCAAAGCCAATTTAGCGGCAGGCTTTATGTATTTCACGCTCCGCATTCCTCCTAGCACCAGGACTTTGGAAGGGGAAGTGATGTACATCCGGTGTAATGGCGGCGCAGTGGAGCTTTAGTACTTGTAAACATTAAAAAATAAACCAACAAGGAATTGAGACCACTGTGTACTTGTAACTTGGACCAACTCAAGTGTCGATTTATTATTAGATCAACTGGCAACAGAAAATGAATAGTGTGGCACAGATCAGACATTCTTCTGGTCATGACAGAAGAGAAAACTATAATTCTTATCAGAGGAACTCCTCTCCAGAAGACTGAACAAGAAAGGTTCCCCTGGGATAGAGATTACTTTGATTACAACAGGTAGACTGTGACCATTCAAGAAGAGGACATTCTTATGATGGTGATATGGAATCACGAAGCAGGGACCGAGAAAAACACAGAGAAAGAGAGAGAGAAATGGATAGGAAAGGGTCCCGGGAATCTCCATCTCCAGGGAGAAGGAGCCCAGAAGCATCAATAAACCAGAGTTCAGCTCAAGATGAGTCCTCTACAAAGAAGAAGAAAGATGAGCTGGATCCTCTCCTGACTCGCACCGGTGGAGCATACATCCCTCCTGCAAAGCTCAGAATGATGCAAGAACAGATTACAGATAAAAACAGCTTAGCGTATCAGAGGATGAGCTGGGAGGCCCTAAAGAAGTCAATCAATGGTCTTATCAACAAAGTCAACATTTCCAATATAAGTATTATTATCCAAGAGCTTCTTCAAGAAAATATAGTCAGAGGAAGAGGGCTGCTGTCCAGATCTGTTTTACAAGCCCAGAGTGCTTCTCCAGTCTTCACACATGTTTATGCAGCATTGGTAGCAATTATCAACTCAAAATTTCCCAAATCAGAGAATTAATCCTCAAGAGGTTAATTCTTAATTTTCGAAAAGGCTATTGAAGAAATGATAAGCAACTTTGTCTGACTGCTTCAAAATTTGTGGCACATCTTATTAACCAAAATGTGGCACATGAAGTCTTATGCTTAGAAATGCTCACTTTGCTCCTGGAAAGACCAACAGATGACAGTGTTGAAGTGGCTATTGGTTTTCTCAAAGAATGTGGCCTCAAATTAACACAAGTGTCCACAAGAGGAGTCAATGCTATCTTTGAACGCCTTCGAAACATTCTGCATGAATCTGAAATTGACAAAAGAGTTCAGTATATGATTGAAGTAATGTTTGCTGTACAGAAGGATGGATTCAAGGACCACCCAGTCATCCTCGATGGACTTGACTTACTTGAAAAAGATGATCAGTTCACCCATATGCTTCCTTTGGAGGATGACTACAATCCAGAAGATGTTCTTAATGTTTTCAAGATGGATCCCAATTTTATGGAGAATGAAGAAAAGTATAAAGCTATTAAGAAGGAAATACTTGATGAAGGAGATAGTGATTCAAACACAAATCAAGATGCAGGAAGTGGGGCTGGGGATTTAGCTCAGCAGCATAAGCGCCTGCCCTGCAAGCAGGCAGCTGTGAGTTCGATCTCTGGTACCAATAAAAACAAAAAAGACAAAAAAAAAAGTTTTTAAAAAATGACGCAGGAAGTAGTGAAGAGGAAGAAGAGGAGGAAGAGGAAGAAGGAGAAGATGATGAAGGACAAAAAGTAACTATTCATGACAAAACTGAAATTAATCTAGTCTCATTTCGTCATACAGTATATCTTGCTATTCAGTCAAGTTTAGATTTTGAAAAATGTGCTCACAAATTGCTGAAAATAGAATTTCCTGAAAGTCAAACAAAAGAACTCTGCAATATACTTGACTTCTGTGCCCAACAAAGGACATATGAGAAATTTTTTGGCTTATTAGCTGGGTAGTTTTGCATGCTGATAAAAGAATACATGGAATCTTTTGAAGGTATATTCAAAGAACAGTATGATACCATCCATCGCCTAGAAACAAACAAACTGAGGAATGTTGCCAAGATGTTTGCTCACCTCTTATATGCTGACTCACTTCCACAGAGTGTTCTTGAATGTATAAAACTAAGTGAAGAAACTACTACATCATCTAGTAGAACTTTTGTCAAAATATTCTTCCAGGAAAAGAGAAACTGGAATGGGGGAAAGGAGAAAAGAAAGGAAAAATTATACACACACACACACACACACACACACACACACACACACAAGGTAGTTATACTACTAATTTCTGGTAGTCCATTAAAAAAGATTTTTACTAATACTGTTTGGACAATTAAATGCCTGTATCTTTACTCTGTATAATTTAAAGATAAAACATGCAATGTATTGACCATTGTTACCCTCCTATAATTTTTTAAAGAGAATCAAATCAAATCAAACAAAACACAATAAAACTAAACCAAACCAAACAATGAAAACGATATGGGACTTCAAAATTAGATAATAGAAAATTACCAATGCCTACCATAATGCCTGTGATTATCTTCAAAATAGCTGTCTAGACCATCAGACATAGGCATGTAAAATTAGCCAAACAAGACAAGAATTAAGTTCCTTCTCTACTTCGGTTGTTATCTTTCCAGGAATTTCAGGAGTGTGACTTTTAACTTCTACTATGTCTGTGTCTTCTGAACTCGTTCTGGGTGGGCTGAGGTCTGCGACTGTGTTTTGTTCCTTCATCTTGACATTTTCCGGTGTCTCTCAGAATCAGCCCATCGCTGCACCCCGGGTGCTTCCTCTGCTGGCTACCAGTCCCTCGGTGTTGTAGTTTGGAGTAGGCACCTCCCATCCAGGGTTCCTGCAGTGGTGGAGAGGCATGCAGTGGTGGCTCACCGATGCTCCCCTGACAGCAGGACCTTGAGGTATGGCTTCTTCTCCAGGCCCACACTGGGCTTGCCGGGTCTCTGTGGCCATTGGCGCATAGCCTCAGGGTGTGGCTTCTTCCTATTAAATCCATCTGTTTCCTGATCAGTAATTCCAAGACTGCCTCATCTCTCCCTTTCTTTTTATTGCCCTTTCCATACCCAACCTCTTCAGCTCAAGGCAATAGAAAAATTTATCTTTGGTTGGCAAATAACACAGCTTTTTGTTTTATTTTTGAGAAACAGTTGTTTTATCCCATGAAACCAGATAACCCTTGTCATTGCAAAAAAAAAAAAAAAGTGAGAAAAATAGGAGAATCTGAATTATTATTGGAGAATAATGCTTTAAATATGCATTTGAAATATGCTTTAAAATAAAGCATAAACCCAAATTGCCCAATACAAGTTGATTAATCATGTCATTTTTTTCTACTATCTGCTAAGCTGTTTTGCTAAATTATTCTTTGATGTAACACATCAACCTATAGGAAACACAGCAACCTATAAGCTATGTTTCTTTTCAGGATGTAGTTGGGGATGTTCCACATTACATAAAGAGGCACCACAGGAGTATCTCCAAGCCCCAATCCCTCACCCTCTACCATCCCAACGCCCACCCCATCTCCAGATCACCCAGAAGTAAACTGTCACTGAGTAACTGGCTCAACCCTACCACAGCAGCCCTGTCTGGTAATAGCCTTACCCCCTCTTAAGTTAGCATTGCTGGAAAACGCAGAGCCAATCCAGGTCAAACTCTTACAACTACACTGGCTTGTCCACAGGGTCTTACCTCTCCCTGGCTCTGTCTTCCTGTCTTTTAGTCTTTCTTGGCCTCATCTTTTTCCTCATCTTTTTCATTTATTTTTATCTTCCTAAATTATATACATTTGGCTCCTTAAATGCCCCTGAAAACAAGATGATTTAATGATAAACACAAAGCAACTTAAAGCTTTGTTTTCAAGACCAGAATCAGCAAATGAGAGCCCCCTGGCCAAATCCAACTACCATCTGTTTTCTGATGGTCCACAGATAAGAATGGTTTTTAAATTTTTTAATGATTTAGGAAGAAAAATGGGAAGATCTGTGACTTGCAAAAGTTATAAGAAAGTCAAACTTTGGTGATTATAAATAGGTATATTGGAACACAACGCATCTAATGACTCACACACTGTCACCATACAACAGCAGAGTACAGTAGTTATGACAAAGGCAAAGTGTCTGTAGAGCCTAGAATATTTACTACCTAGATTTCTATAGGGAAAGCTTGCCAATCTTCAGATTAGGGCTTCATTTTACATCTTTTTATATTCTTTCTGCCAATGTTAGAATTGCAAAAATGCTCCAAAGCTAGATAGTTTCTGCATCTTAAGTCTAGATATCTTTTGTACTTCATTTGTTAACCTGCCCCTCAGTGATCTTTAACCTTGACTCACGTGCGTATTTACTGTCAGTGCTATGTAATAAAGATAAGTAACTTTCAGCCTCTTTGAAATGACTAAGAGACCCAATGAAAATACCATCAATATACCTCATAGATCTAGAGAATTCACTCATAAAATTCACCTGGAACCAGAAGAGATCTAGAATAGCAAAGGCAATTCTAAGCAGCAAAGGCAAGGCAGGAGGCATTACAATCCCTGACTTGAAGTTATACTACAAAGCTTCTGTAATAAAATCAACATGGTACTGGAATAAAAACAGATCTGAAGAACAATGGAATAGATTAGAAGATACAACCACAACTACCAACATACACAACCACCTTATCTTTGATAAAGGGGCAAAACATGTTCACTAAGAATGACAGTCTCTTTAATAAATGGTGCTGGAAAAAGTGGCTCTCCATATGCCGAAAACTAAAACTGGACCCATGCCTATCACCATGTACTAAACTAAAATCTAAATGGATCAAAGATTTGAATATTAAAACAGAAACACTAAATCTGTTTGACAACAAATTATGTAAAAATCTTAAAGACATAGGGGTAGGTAGAGAATTCATGAATCAAACTGCACGGGAAATACTTTCCAGAATCAATAACTGGGACCACATCTTATTAAAAAGTTTCTGCATGTCAAAAGAAATCTCCACCATAGTGAAAAGAAAACCCACAAACTGGGAAAAAATCTTAGTGAACTGTCCCTCAGACAAAGGACTTCTGTCTAAAACATATAAAGAATTTTAAAAAACAGACCCCCAAAATTCAAAGACCCAATTCAAAAATGGACATCTGAGATGAATACACAGTTCTCAGATGAAGAAATACAAATGGCAAATAAATACATGAAAAAATGTTCATCATCATTAGTCATTAGAGAAATGCAAATTAAAACCACATTGAGATTCCATCTCACTCCAGAAAGAACGGCCAAGATAAAGAAAATTACCAACAACAAAAGCTGGAGAGGCTGTGGGGAAAAAGAAACTCTTCTGCACTGTTAGTGGGAGTGTAGACTGGTGCAACCATTGTGGAGGTCAGTCTGGAGGTTTCTCAAAAAGCTGGGATTGGGAGTCCCGTTTGACCCAGCTATTCCACTTCTGGGTGTATTCCCAGAAGAACTGAAAACATCATACCACAGTGATATATGTGCACCACACAACTTGAGACCATACTCATAAGCAAAATAAATCAAACTCACATATATAAACACCATGTAGTCTTCCTAGTGTAAGAAATGGTAAGAGTACATAAGAGTTTATGGTAATCATGATTCCCCATTACATTGCTTTGAAGTCTTAAAATGTTTTCATTCATTAGTTGGAATGGTTTTATCCTGGTTTGTTTGATTTTATTATCTGTGATGGTATGAACAGCTATTTGAAGAAACCAAGACATAGCCATTGCTGATTTAATATCATCTTGCTTTGAAGAAAACAGCCATTGCTGATTTAATATCATCTTGCTTTGAAGTCCTACCATGCTTTTGTTCTTCTGTTTCCATTGGTTCTACCATTTTGTATCTTATTGGATGTTATTATGTGTTATTATGTGTTATAAAATAAATTTTTTATGGAAAATGAGATAATATAGTAGCCATTGTTCGTTCTCTGTTATTTGGTTCTGAATGCCCTGTAATACTTTCATTCTCTTGAATGGTTTTATACTATTTTGTTATGTTTGATATACTATTTTGTTATGGTCTCAAGTTGTGTCCATTTATTTATGGATATCTCAACGTGATCATTCTTTATAGGTGAGTGTGCTCCATCGTATACAAATACCACATCTTTTTTATTCATTCCTCAGATGATGGGCACTTAGGTTGTTTCCAAGATCTGGCTATTACAAATTGTGCTGCTACAAACATGGGTGCATATACTATTTTGTTATGTTTGATATTAATGTATATGAAGGTATGCTCAACTGTTTCAAAAAAAGAGACATTATGGTAGCTACTGTTAATATCAGGTTGTCTAATGGTAAAGTACTGTTCGCTTACACTGTTCTATTCTGATCTGTTTTGTTCTGTCTTCTTTTGTCTTAATCTCTTTAAAATAAAAAAAGTAAAAAAAAAAAAAAAAAAAGAAATGACTAAAAGACCCTCTTGGGTGGTTATGCTCCAGTCACTAATAAAGTGAATTTTAAATTTTCTATTTTTGCTGAAAATTTTAAGCCAACAGAAGGTTCTTGTACTAAGCTGGCACATGTACATCATTCGCAAACGTTTTCCTCTGGTTTCTTTTCAGTTAATACATGTGTTTGCATATTTGCTGATTTCTTTCCCTCTCCTGGTCAACCTTAGTTACAAATAAAACCAAGTCTCCATAGAAACCCAGCATACTGCTCTCTCACAGATAATCAAGGGACCCAAGCAGCTGGTATTGGGCTGCAATGGCATTTGACCAAATTAGGAAGAGAAAACAGCGCACCCCGCTCATCCAGACCTCAGAATTCTAAAGCTTAGCAATCTACACAGACTGTGAATTACAGCAAGTTTTTTATTCTTTATTTCTCTTCCTAGAATAATCTTATCAATTTGCATGTTTGAGGTAAGGGCTTTTCACCACCACCACCCCCCCTCTTATAGGGCAGACAAACACTATAGAATTAATGGGAAGATAATGAGTCCCCACTGTGTGCCGGGCATTATCTGTCATAGCTGCATCAATACCAAAGTTCTCAAACCAGCACAGCTGAGATTTCAGTGCCAGTCTGCTCAACTCCAATGTTCATTCTCTGTCCACTACACATGAAATACTATCCTTCAAAAGGAAGAAGTGGAAAACAGAAGTTTGAACAGAGGTCTCTTAACACAGCCATG